AAAAAAAATTTTCCTAAACGCTTTTTTAATTCTTACATAATTTTATTTCTATATATTATTAAAAATGATTGCAGAGAACTCTTCTGAGAAGTCTTCTGAAAGTTTTTTGAGAAATCTTCCATAATCTGACTTATATCTGAAAAAATTGCATATCCAAAAACATTTAAATGATATCAAAATAGAGAAAAACAAAAAAAAACAATGTTTTTATGCTTAAATAATAAGTAAAACAATCACATTATGTTGAATCTATAACTTATTAGAATCTAACATATAAACACACACAAAATACATTTACAAAATGTATAGATCTACTTTTAAATGAGTGAAAATGACAACTATGTAATAAAAAAACATGCAAAAACAAGATAAATTAGTAAAAAATACATAAAAATGAACAATTGATATAAGGTTTGGTGTTACAAAATTCAAATAGTTTATATAAATTCAAATATTACATTTTTGCCTCTATTTGAGAGAAAGAAATAGAATATGTAATTTTTTTTTATATGAGAAGACAAAAATTTCAATTAGGTTAAATATTTTCGATACATAAGACTTTCATGTAAGTCTTCTATTATAAGACTTACATGAAAGTCTTCCAGGAAGTCTTCTATACCTTAAATTTAATATTTCTCCAGAATACTTACATTAAAATTTTCTATTGCACTATTTGTTAGAAAACTTAACAATAAGTCATCTAAACACTACAATCAAGTAATTAATTAAATCACAAAAAACTTCATTAAACCTATAAAATGTTTAATGTACACAAAAATAAACACATATATGTCAAATTTAAATATATATATATTTTTTTAAAAAAGGTTAAGGTTCCAAATCTAACCCTAAAGAATACACACAATACTATAACATATGTTACCAAGCCCTTAAGGAAAGAATATCTTCACTCAATCTACATTCACTTATCTATGTTGAAAATAATTCATTTTTATTAAATTTAAATTTGCATCAGTTACAAATATATATAATTTGATGATTATGATTTTTTCCTATCAAAATATTTTTTATGAAATTTGTAAATTATTTTTAAGATCTAATATATGAGAAGATTTCGTTTGGAAGATTTATGAAAGACTTATCGTAAGACTTAGTAACTGGAGATAAACCTTAATTCTATGAAAAATTAAGCAATGTGAACTCTATTGTTAAGTCTTCCAATAAATTTTCTATTGCATTATATTTTAGAAAATGTAAGTCTTCTAAACCCCCCAAAATCAAATAGATAACTAAATCACAAACGACAACTTTATTAAACTTAAAATCAACTTATAAAGTGTTTAATATACACAAAACTAAACACATATAGGTAAAATTTAATTTTTTTTAAAAAAATGTTAAGATTCCACTATCTAACCCTAGAACACACAAACAATACTATAATATAGTTACCATACCCTCAACCAAATAATATCATGACTCGACATACATGCACTCATCTATGTTGAAAAATATTCAATTTTAGAAAATCTAAATTTACATCATTTAAAAATATCTATAATTACATGATTATAATTTTTTTCTAATAAATATTTGTTTATAAATTTAGAAATTATTTATAAGATCTACGATATGAGAAGAGTTCTCTAAGATTTCTCTGAAAGTTTTCTCAGAGAAGACTTCTCTGAGAGTCTTCTCATGCGTAGAGTTCTAATGGTAAATCTTAATACAGTTTTTTTGTTTCGTAATGAAAAAGAAAAGTTCTCTTAAAGTTTTTGGATGTGCAGGATTCTAATGGTAAATCTCAGTACTATTTTTTCTTTGGTCATAAAAGAATGTTTATAATTTTTTTTTATAAACATTAAAAAAAATGTGGAATATCACTAGTATTTTATAAACATAAAAGAATGTTTATAATTTAACTAGTATTTTGAGTTGTTTTTGTATTTGTTTGAAGTTGGAATATCTCTTTATATTTAAAATCAAGTTTTAAATCATATTTGGAAAATCCCCCAATAAATAATCATTCAAATAGTTACTTACTTATTGTGTTAATAATATTTTATATGTGATAAAAATCAGAAAATTCAAAATATCATTCAATATTGTATATAATTAGTATATATTATATAATAAAAAACATTCAATATAAAAAATAATGTATGCTAATATTACAATAATAAGTATATGTTGCGTGTTTTGAAAATAAAAATAAATATCTGTCAGGATGTGCAGATTTATAATTGAACGAAGAATCAATAGAATTAAACTAATCATATTTTAAATCTTTTATTAAATTTAATATTGTTGGACAATCGGACGAAACAATTTGCGTGGTGGTAGTGGACTAGTGGGTTCGGCAGCATCATCCTAATCATGAGACATGCATACTCCAGAATTTTTTTTTTATAGTAATTCAAATATTACTGTTACATAACTGAAAATAATGAAATGACGAAATAATAAAATTTCCTTCGTTTCAAAATATTAAATGTATAAAATAATATGTTTCATTATCTTAGATATATCCGCGATGTTTTTAATTTTATTAAATTATCTATCAAATAATATTTTATATTTTATTTCATGATTAATTATCTAACTTTTATTTTATATTTGGAAAGGAAAAAATAATAAGGTTTTTAGTAATATTAATGTTTATCCTAGAAATATTCTAAAGTTGGTAGAGATGGAAGCTTTATTGAGGCGTAGACTAAGGTCGTGAATACAACTACCCAAGTACGAGAAGAGGTAAAGTTCATTTTACCTTCCATCCCTGGACGTTGGTGATTTATGGATGGATCTTGGAAATTACATGAATCTTTTTCGAGGCAAGGACGGTATAGTATGTTACAAGGATTTTAAAGGATTAATGGGCATAAGAAATACGAGAATAAGTCTATCATCCTTACATTCAGAAATTGAGCCTCTCATATGAGCAATGGAGAGTATGAGGAACTTACGTCAATACCAAGTTACTTTTGCGACAGATTGCAATCAATTGGTGAAGATGGTTTTTGCATCGGAAGAATGGCCAGCTTTTGCGAATTATTTGGAGGACATAAAGGTTCTACAAGGAAGTTTCAGTCACTCAGAGATTATTTATATACCCTGAACTAGGGATGGGCGTTCGGATACCCATTCGGGTTCGGTTCGGATCTATTCGGGTTTTGGATTTTTGGGTTCACAAATTTTAGCCACATTCGGATATTTCTAAATTTCAATTCGGTTCGGTTTGGATTCGGATAACCCATTTAAATATTTTAAAATTTTTAAAATTGATTATATACTTAAAGTTCTAAAAATCTATAAACAAAATAATATATTACAAATAATTGAATAACATAAGTCAAAATATCTAAAATTAACATATAAATTAGCTTGATTTGAATATTTGGATTGTGAATCAATATTTTTTTAAAGTATTTTTGATGTTTTGAGTGTACTTTAGCAATTTTAGACATGTATATTTGACTATTTACATATATTTACAAGTATTTTGAACAACTTCAAAGTATTTTATATATATTGAATGTTTTTATATGCATTCAATTTAAAAATAATTAATATATATAGGTATATAAATCTCTTTTGAATATATTCGGATACTCGAAATACTTCGGTTCTGGTCGGTTTCAGTTTCGGTTCTTTAAATACCAAAATTTTGAACCTATTCTGATATTGAATCAATTTTGGTTTGGATTCGATACTATTTTTTGGATCGGGTTCTTCGGATCTGGACTTTTTTCCCAATCTTACTCCAAACGCTGAATTCAAAGGCGAACAACTTAAGGGAGAGTACCAAAAAGAATCATCATTTCGTATTTCATATCGATACGAAGTCGTCAGTTTAGTTTATATATACTTCATAGAATATGTTTATGTTGATGATAAAATAAAAATATAATGATATTTGTTAGGTAAAGTTTAGTTTTTATAATAGCTGTAAATTGTCATAAACTTCATAGATTTTAGAACCGAGAATAGCTAATTGTGTAGATTTTAGATTTTGTCACGTTTCCATAAAATCCAACGGCCGAGATTTCACATCGGCAATATAATGGCGTTTGAGCGATCGGATGGGCAAGAAAGAAGATGACGATAATGAGTCCACCATGAAAATGAGGATACCCATTTAAAGCATTGAAAAGCCCACTCTCAGTAAAGAGAGATGCAGTTTGGACTCTCTCTATACCTCTCCTATCTTCTTTATTCCCGAAAACGCAGCGTGGCTTTTTCCCTCACGACACAAAGGATGATTCTCGTCTGCCAATAATCCTTTAAATACTAGAGAAAATAGTTTTTTATGCCATATAGGTTTAGACATTGTCCCTTTATACTAATTTCTAGTATTTTATGTTCCATTAAGCTAAATATTTTCCAGATGGAAATAATGCCCTTAAATTCACTTAAAAGTCGTAAACAAATTAAAAATAAAAAATCTTCAAATCGTGAAAAAAAAAATTTTCTTCATAAATCTATTTTTTTAATAATTTCATAAATAAATAAAGGGCATTAGAGTCAAAATTGGTACAAAATATAATTTACACTAAAGGGACAATGTTCAAACCTATTTGGTCTAAAAGAACAGTTTCCCCGAGAAAATAGTATTTTTAGGCCAAATAGGTTTGGACATTGTCCCTTTAGATTAGTCTCTAGTATTTTATGTCCCATTAGGCTAATATTTTCCAAATGGCAATAACGCCCTTAAATTCACTTAAAAATCGTAAACAAATTAAAAATAAAAATCTTCAAATCGGAAAAAAAAAAGACGAAAGAAACTGCTCTATACGACGAGATCAATCGATCCCAAAAAGAGTCGGTCGATCCCAGCGGTCGATCTCGATGATTAAACAAAAACATAAAAAAGCACGGAGCAGAAACTGATCGATCTTGTCTAGTTCAGTCGATCTTCACCGATCAATCTATCAAATATCGATCGAGCGGTTATTTAGATCGATCGATCCCGATTCCAGAAAAATTCTTCCAACTCGATTTCATGGTTTTCTTCCAGAAAACCCGTACAGAAGATTCTACAGATGCGAGATTGGGTTACAGGTTTCAATTATTAAGTGTATTCGTTCTATACTATACTTGAGATTAATTAGTTTGTTCTTATTTGCTTATGGGTTTTGATGTAGCGGAAGAGGGAACTCTATTTATTTAAGTGATGTGATGAAGCGTTGCTTGATGAGATTCGAATGGTAGATACTCAGCAAAGGAGAATCGCAGAGGAAATTCAAGATCTGAAAAGGATTTTGCAGAAGATGGAAGATGAAGAAGTTAGTAAGAAGATTAAGTCCGATGATCTGGTATGTTTAGGGTCTATTATTTGTCTTTTCGAAAATTATGTAGCCAAGAATGAATGAAATAGATACATTGGTTCCTGGGATATAACAATCTTGTTTGAAACTGAATGCGTATTACTAGAAACATGAAGCAAACTTGTTCGAAACTGAAACATGAAGCAAACTTGTTCAAAACTAACCAAATACAATCTGAAAATTTGAAACAAAGTGGTGAAAAAAACAGTAAACAAAGCGACTATATTGGGGAGAATGGAGAAGAGGCGTGAGAAGAACGTGAGAATAACCGTGAGAATATTTTCAAAAGATTTTCCTTTTTAGAAAACGTTTTTGCCTTTGAATTTTCTTTTTTTTTAAAAAAAAAAAATTGAATTTTAAATATGGAAACCGAATATTTCCTAATATATTTTTGCTATATTTCGGATCTAATAATATTTATCCGTATAATTCAGATTCTACTAAAGGTAGAACTGTGTAAAAAGATATGAAATCAGTTTCTATATGTATTAGAACGTTGTGAGAATGTAGATTCCGATTTCTACTAGTTTTGGATTTAAGTAAAAGTTTAGATTTCAATTTCTACTTTTATTAGAACTCTATGATAAGCGTGGAATGTGTATTCCAAACTATTTTAGATTCATTTATCTTCGTAGAATACATATTCTGCATTTCGTAAAAATAATGAAAAAAATGGATTCCGTATTCTAATCTGTAGTATACAGATTCTAATTTCAGTAGAATAATATATGAAATTATTATTTACACATTTTTAAAACAGGAAAAAATATCACTATATAGATATAAGGGTTTCATCATTATGTACTATTTTTTAAAAAAAATTGCTTCATAAATCTATTTTTTTAATAATTTCAGAAATAAATAAAGAGCATTAGAGGCAAAATTGGTACAACACTAAAGAGACAATATCCAAACCTATTTGGTACTAAAAAACAGTTTCCCTAAATACTAAAGTGCAGCTCGTTTGGCAAAACATATTTTACTATGTAATAAAGTATAAAATTAAAGAGAAACTAAAGAAAACAAAATATTATTTGAAGATAAAATATCTTTGCCTACAACTTTTTTCCGTTCTCTTATATCTCTCAAATATCTCTTAGAGTTAATCAATTTATCAGAAAATCACCATCAATCAAAAACAGAATGTGAAATACCTACTCTCCCTCTTCAGTTTCAAAATCATAAATCTTAACTGAGATCATATTAATTAAGATCTCAACAACCTATATTTTTCAATGATGCTATCTCTCCTTTGCACAGTTTCGTTGACTATGGTGGAGCACGACTTTACTTCATCAAACCGATTTATGACTATGAAAGAAAAAGAGAAGACATGGCGAGCCGAATAGCTGGAGACGTCAACCACAAATACAGATTCAAAAATTTGTAGAACCAGAAGAAGGGCTTTTGATAAAAAGTTAAATGCTGATTTGCGTTTCTATTTAAATATATTTATGTATATTAATTTTGGAGAACGTAAAAAAAATGAAACAAATTTTGAGGAAAAAAAAATGAAACATTATGTGTTCTTCAAAATAATGCTCTACTATCCACTTATATTTTGAATTACTTTATTATGGTTTCAAATTAACATGTCAATAAGACTATTTAATCTGACGTGAGCTTATAATTTTGTCATATGTGCAAAAGGTATCGTAACGTACATTAAATTAAGTAGTAAAGTTTACATATTCTCAAACTAAAAAACAATAAATTTGACTACAAACATATTCCATTATTCTATAGTAATTGTTACCTCTAGATATATTTTTATGAGATGATGTTTCTCTACTACATGATGTTCTTTTTATTGTTTTTATTGGGTTCGTAATAATATTTTTCTTCGTTAATGATACATTGCAGATACAAAATGAAAGAACAAAACCAAGTAAAACACACAAAAAAAAAAAAAAACCAGAAAGCTTCAAATTAATATTTATATTCAACAAGCTATTTTAGATCAATGTAAAATTTAAAAAATCAAATTTAATATTATATACGTGGTTAATTAATGATAAAAGTAATAATCATTTATGTACATGTATTTTCTTCCGATAAACAAAGTTATTTTATACATGTCAATTTTAATTAATCGATTATTAGCAATTACATGCTCGGTAATAATCGATGTTTACCATCTACTTCCGAAAAATGGTAAGTACATGTAAAAATATACTCATGTAAAGCATGGGGTCAATACTATAGCAATATAGGATGCAAGTCATATGCAAAACTCTACTAGTCTCATGCTGAAAATCTTGAAATCATGTTTTTATTACTTCCAGCATGTACTTACCATTTTTTTTAACTATGCTTACTAATTATTTATTTATTGTTCATTTAAAAATCCTTTTTAGATACATTCTTTTTTTTATAGCAAATTTGCTCAATATACCAAAAGAAACTCAATATTAGGGATTTGCTATAGTTTTAGTGGAAAAAATAGTGAGAGGGGGAAGATAGATAAAAGAGAAAGAGAGTAGATAGTTAATTTAGTGGTTTAGTTTGTATATGAGGTGCAAATTCTCTTCTTTTAATGTCTTAGATTCAGCTTTTCTCACTAATTCACAAGCATGTTCTAGTATCCCCTAGTTCCTAGATATTATTTTAGGAGTTGTTTTGACATGTGTTATTTTTACATTAATTTAAAAAAAAACATTGTATACTAGCAATGATGACATGATTTGAAGCTAATTGTAAAATAAATATTTACATTAATTATTGTTTTATATTTTGATATTCTTTAGAATATGGTAATAATTTATAAATCGTCATTAATATAACAATAAATGAAATAATAGTAGAAATATATATAATAATAGTTTAAATTTTTTGAAAGTTTATTTAGTTCTAATTGTACAATTTTATAATTTATATTGCTAAAAAAATCTAAAAATTTATACATTTTTTTTTAAGAAAAGTTTGTAATTTTCTAATCTCATTATCAATAGTTTCTTTTTAATATCTACAAATTTAAGAAATATTATTTAGTTTTACTTTTTGACAATAATATACTTAATCAAAAGTTTCTCTTAATTTTACCAAATTAGATTTAATATATTTTAATCAAAAGAAATAGATAACAAATATTTCCATGATTATAGTTTAAATATATACATATATATATTAAATATAAATTTCAATAAAATGATTTACTTTATCTTAATTTTAGATACAATTCTATTAAGATTTTTTTAAAAAAATATTGTAAAGAAAACCTAAGAATGCACAAAAATTTATTTATTAGATACAATTTAAATTTAAAATTTTTATTTCTACACATACTGCATGAAAACATTTAGTGAACTTGACTTGCTAAACAAACGTTAGGGTAGAATAAAATAATAGCAAATCGTAAAAAATATTGGAATCAGCACTAAGCTTTAAACTTTATAAAAATAGTTTTACTCATAAAGAAACGAGTAGCACTTCAACAAAAAAAAAATCACTTTTTTTTTTTACTCAACAACTACATTTCATTAACCAAACTTCAATGTTTTACATAATCCTCTCAGCCTCTAAACAAGAAAATAACCAGACAGGCGTAATAGAATACATCTTAGGGACAAAGGACGTAAATGTAGCAGTCTCCTTAGTTATTCTATCCGCAACTTTATTACCACTTCTAGGAGAAAAACACACTTTAAACTCCTCTTTTTCCGCTAGTAGGTTGCACAACTCTTGAATCATGGGCTTCATCCTTGGCTAGACCTCCTCTTCCCCTTTCAGCATCTTCACCAAAACCTGAGAATCTGTTTCAAAAATCACTTTCCTATATCCAAACCTTACCAAGGATGTTATCTCCCACTTCAAAGCTTCTGCCTCTGTTTCTAGTGCAGACCTTATATCTGGAATTTTTCTAGCCCCCGCCCACAACATTCGACCGCCATGATCTCGTAAGACCCATCCCACCCCTCCTTCTTCATTTTCCTGCTTCCAGGAGCCATCAATATTACACTTTAACCATGAAAAGGGAGGAGGATACCATCGCTTGTTTGGTTCTTCTGTTGCAGAAACTTTCACCACCTCTTTTTTAACCTCTGCTCTGCTATTCCACGCATTTTCATCTTCTCTTGCCTTCTCAATAGTGGCTGGAATATGATAGATTTTTCTCCTGAATAGAAGCTCATTACGATTTTTCCAGATTCTCCACATTAGCCATGGAACTAAGCCCTCTTCCATGATTTCCATTGGGTACTCTTTTTTTAGATTTAAGACCCAATGAAGATTGGAGAAGAAGGAGTCACTCCATGTACCTGAAGGTGGAATATGAATGTTTGCTTCTGCCCAGATCCGATGCGCATAAGTACACTAAAAAAGTAAATGATTGACACTCTCCGACGGTCCGTCACATCTGCTGCTGCTCTCATCTTTTCCAATGTGGCGCTTCACCATATTCTCTGCCACCGGTAACGCATTATTGAGACAGCACCACAGGAAATGTTTCAGCTTGGGGCTGGTTTCGAGGTTCCACACTAGCTGATAGAGTGCATCCAGCCTAGGTTGAGTCACCGCTTGACACTCATTCTTTACTGCAACTACATTCATCTCACCCAATACGCTGACTTCACAGTGTAGTGACCAGTTTTAGTATACTCCCAGGAGTATGTGTCTTCACTATTCCTCCCCGCCGGGCATATGGCTTTGATTTTCTTCTGAGTATCTTCGGTGAACCATCTTCCCAGCATCTCGTGATTCCAGTCAATGCCATTATCACCTAGCAGTTTACTAACACACATACTCTCTGACCAGTTTACATTTGAGCCTGCTTCTTGTCGTTTCATTGAAAATACCGGCATGGCAGGTTTAGATCCTAGCCATCTCTCATTCCATACCTTAGTTGCTTCTCCGTTTCCTATGATCACCCTCGCACCCTGATGGACAATCTCTTGAGCCGCATGGATACTTCTCCATGCGTACAATGGCCTAGAACCTAAAGATGCACTTAATGGATCCGGATTTTTAAAGTATCGGCTCTTGAAGACTCTGGACATTAACGACTTTTTATTTGTGATCATCCTCCACAGCTGCTTCCCCAAAAGAGCCAAATTAAAAGCCTCCAAATCCTTAAACCCCAAACCACCGCAGACCTTAGCTTTACATAGATTCTCCCAACTCTTCCAGTGCATTCCCCTGGAGTCTGTCTGTTTCTCCACCAGAAATCTGACATTAAGGCCATTATCTGTTTACATACCGTTTTTGGAATCAAAAAGCACGCCATTGTGTATGTCGGTAGTGCCATCGCCACAGCTTTTAGCAAGAGTACCTCTTTACCCGTCGGGTTTAAAAACTTTCATTTGCCATCCATGGACTTTTTTACTCAGATTTTCCTTCAGGTAACTAAGGATAGAGACTTTGGAGCCCCCAAAGGATTCTGGTAGCCCCAAATAAAATCCTTCTCCGCCCGTTTGTTCAATGCCCAGCTTTGCGTGGATTTCTTCTCTCTTGCTCAGCGGAATATTTTTCCCAAAATACACACTGGATTTCTGGTAGTTGATCCTTTGTCCCGACACTAAGCTGTACCGCTGGAGGAGTTGTATCATATGATTCAGCTCTTCATCGGTTCCCTTACAATACAGCATGCTATCGTCAGCAAAAAGCAGATGTTAGACGGGTGGAGCCCTTCTCGCAACTCTTAGACCAGAGATAAGTCTCTTCTGTTCTGCTAACTTTAGCATCTGCACCAGCACTTCAGTACATATTACGAAGAAATAGGGGGAAAGCGGATCCCCTTGTCTCAGCCCTCGAGATGGTGTGATCTGCCCATACGGCTCTCCATTTATTAGGATTTGATACCTTACTGATGAGACAGGGCTCATAATGAGGCCCCTCCAGACATCCGAGAAGCCCAATACTTTCATTGCTCTATCCAGAAAGGACCATTCCACACGATCATACGCCTTGGAAATGTCTGTTTTGATCGCAATGAATTCCGAGGAGCATTTGTTATCGGAGTTGAGGGCATGAAGAAGCTCGTGTGCAACCAGGATGTTATCAGAGATTAGTCGCCCCTCCACAAAAGCCACTTGGTTTTCTGATATTACCGACGGTAGCACCTTCTTTAACGCCGGGCCATGAGTTTAGAGACAATTTTATATGCGACATTACATAAACTGATGGGCCTGTACTCACTCATTCTCTTGGCCGTTAGAGTCTTCGGGATCAGGCAGATATTGGTATTATTTAGTCCCTCTTCAATCTCTCCTGTCTCAAAAAATCTCTGCACCATGGATGTTAAGTCCTCACCACAAGTCTCCCAAAACTGTTGGAAGAAGTAGCCGCTCATCCCGTCCGGTCCCGGGCATTTACTCGGATTGATATCAAAGACAGCTTTCCTGACTTCCTCCCTAGTAACTGGTACTAATAATGATGAGTTCTGAGCAGGTGTAACCTTAGCTTGTATCTCCTCCCACTCCTCTAACTCTACCCCCACCTCCTCCGATGCAAAGAGTGTCCTGAAGTACCTTTCAGATACTCTCCCTAAATCTTTATCTGCGAACCATTCTTTCCCATCTTCATCGATTAGACTCTTGATTTGACACTGAGCCCGTCTGCTCTTTGTTACTGCGTGAAAGAACTTTGTGTTTTTGTCACCTGATCTCAACCAAGTCAACCGGCTATTCTCCTGCCAAAAGAGCTCCTCGTTATAATACTCATCATCTAACTCCTTCTTGAGGTTCTGCAGCTCTACTGTATCAAACCGCTCTTGTCTAGAGGCCTCATCAATTTTGAAATGAAGTTCTTGGATTCTTAGCGCTGAATTCGGCTTGACTAGGCGTTTCCATAGCGATATGGCCTTCCTGCAACCTGCAATCTTCCTTAGTAGACTTGCCTGACAATTACTCTGATTCTTCCAATATTCATTAACAGAATCTATAAATCCCTCCCTTTTGACACATCTGTGATCATATCGGAAACACAATTTATTCCGCACCTGATAGCCATCTAAGGAAGTAAGTATAGGACTGTGATCTGAGCAAACTCTTTGTAAATAATAGGCAGTAGCCTGAGGATAATCAGTAAGCCATTCCTGATTTGCTACAGTACGGTCAAGACGACATTGTACTAAACCAGTTAACCTTCTACCCGCCCAAGACAAAGAGTTTCCCATATGTTTAATCTCCCACAGCCCCCAATTTAGTAGCATTTCCTTGAACCCCTGACCTTCACTCTCGGATCTTTCTGCTCCACCTTGTTTCTCGGTTTGATCAATCACTTCATTGAAGTCTCTGTCAACACCCACGCCCCTTTCCGCTCAGTTCCGATCCTCTCGATCCTTTCCCACACTTCGTTTCTCTTACTCTTCACTGGGTCACCATAGACACAGGTTAAAAAGAAACTCTGACCTTGCCAAACCACCTCCATATCAATTATCCTGCTATTGGCTTGTAATACTTTCATTGAGCACGAATTCTTCCACAAAACAGCTAGCCCACCACTCTTCCCTTTTGCGTCCACTGTGACCAGTCCTTGAAAACCCAATCTCTCCACTATAGATTCCATGTATCTTCTCCTACTTTTGGTCTCACTGAGGAATATTATCTCAGGGAAATACTGACCATGTATTCCCTGTAGATGACGGACTGTAGGGATATTCCCCAAACCTCTACAGTTCCAGCTCAGGATCCTCATATTGATCTCGAAGGGTTGGTATTACCCATCAACCCTTCTTTCACATTTGATCCACTTGCCAGTGCTATCCGTCGGACAAAATAACATGGGAAATTTGCTGCCACAAGAGCAGAATGAGACGGAGTATTTACTACCACTGAGGTAGAATGATCTGGAATGGCCTTGGAGTTGTCATCATCATCATAGCTAGTCTCTGCACCTTCTAGGCGGCTGAAAACGGATGGAGAGCTAGTTTTCTTCTCTTGTGAACCTAATCTTGCCTTCTTTGCCTTACGATCCTCACTGCTACTCTGTCTTCTTCTCTTTATGGAAAGCGATCCCTCCGCGTTCCTCACTATTCTCGGAGATGGAGAGATAGGATCTCCCAGTCGTTCAAAGACATTAGGAGGACTCATGCTTCCTTTGCTCGAATTCCCTTCTATTCTTTTCTCCCCTGATCCTCCGCTGAGCTGTAGTCTCAGATCGCCCTCCACAAGTTTACCAGAGGGACTAACTCGGTGACTCCCCCCCAACCGCATTCTTTCTTTACTTCCCAATCGCTTAAAGACTGAACCTGATTCCAGTGTATCCTCCGAAACTTTGCCTCCAGAAACGGCATCTGAGCATTGCCTTCCACTAGGGTCACCGGAGCTTCTAGGATTTGCCGAGGATTCCTCAGTGCTTCTTGTGAGAATCGACACCCCACGGGGTCCCTTCTGCTTCCATACCAACTGTGGTTTTGAGATTGCTCGCTTACCTCTCCTCTTATCTTCCCTGTCTACCCTGTCTGCCCTGTCTACCTCCAAAATCTTACTCTTACCTCTTCCTCCAAGCCTTTCAACTGGGGTACTCCGTATCAAGACTCCTTTCCCCGACCTCCTCTGTAGAATTTCTCTAGATTTTGATTCTTTTTCTTGAAGTTTCTTCCTCAGATTTATTTCCTTAAAGCTCTCCTTTGATGCTCCCCCCTCGTCTTGAATATGTGGAAATTGCAGGGGGCATCTGGATTGGTCGTGAGATAAATTCTTGCAGGTATAGCACACCTTAAGTAATTTCTCGTACTCCAGCTCTGTGGGTATAGTAGTTCCCGATTTGAATCTTGTTGTCATACGAAATTGGAGAGGTTCTTCCGTATTAATATGCACCAGCGCTCTCACATACTCCAGAGAGTTTGAGTTTTTTTGCGTGTAGTTCCACCGTTTCCACCAGCCCTAGTGGACCTAGTAGCATCTTTACTATCTGCTTCTTGAACATATAAATTGGAAGACCTCTGACTCTTATCCAAAAAGGGATTCTTTGTAAGAACTTCGGTGGGGGATTAGGACTCCATTGATCCAGCGATACCATCCAGCCATTGACAAACCAGGGGCCTTTGGTCAACACATGTTGTAGATCATTCTCCGATGTGAAAATGAACTGAACCCTGTGTTCTCCCACTCCTCTCCCTCGTACTCTATCTTTCAGACCCCAGATTGGTGGTAGAGCTTTCACTAATCCTCCTACTTTGTGGACGTACGGATTGAGACACCTTACTATCACACTTAGCGTGTTTTCTTCGATGAGATCCTCAATTTCTAAATCTGGGATGTCCACCATCTCCCCTTCTTCTAGGAGTTCTCTCTCCCTCAACCCCTCAAGTAAGGTGGGTTCCTTTCTTTTCCGGACACGGTTCATCTTCCTCTTAGGGTTTTGACTCTCGCCGAACGTAATAAAACTGAGTTAGAAGCCACAAGGACTTAATGAGATCTAAGCAGACCAGATCTATCCTTCCAGGAGTTGGATCTGGTAGCTCCACGTCGTTTGTTAGCTTTCCTTAGTCCCCCATGTTATTTGTAGAGCTTGATTCGACTGGGATTATTGAGGGGTTCGGAAAGATTGGATCTAGCAAGCACAAAAGATGATTTGCTGACTGAAAATGGGTTTAGATTTAGATTTGGAGTTGAGAAACTTGGTTCGAAACCCTAGTCGCCTTCTTCATCGCCGCCAGAGAGAGAAAATCCTCATTTTCCTCCTCTTTCAAAACTGGCTGCTAATTAAAAAAAAAAAAATCACTTTCTAGATTCTCTGTTTTGCTTTTGTTTAGTCGCATGCACTATTTTTCCTTTTTTCCAAATATCAAATAATCAGATTTTCTTTTGTCTGAAATGAAGGTATTTTAGTAATCGCAACTTCTAAAATTTGGAAGATGATTTCTATAGGGAAAATGTAGAAAATCAAGTGAATAATTCTACTTTTGCTCCATATGTACTCGGGTCTCTCGAAATGAATGATTTGGCTATGCATATGCCTCTCAGAAAATAGTTGTTGATATCATATTTTAAGAAACTAATAAATGAGATACTAAGAACAAAAAACAAGAAAGTACATAGAATGTGAAAGTGCCTTTATTTCATTCACATTTGCTTAACATCACATTCTTTTAAATACTATTGTCTTTTTTTCATTTTACATATTTGAGCCCAAGAACAACTATTTTTTTCATACTTCATTCTATTATCTTTTCCCACTTCTTTTACCTAACTTCACACAATGTACATTGCTCTAGACATATATACACACATACATATATGTATACCCCCGCAAACTATACTAGTATTGTTATCGGCATAAAGACTATATATTACCATTTGCTTAGTATTCTATGATTAGTCCTCCGAAAGGAGCACGGTGCGGTATTCCCTTCCTTCGTTTTGCAAGTCGACGACTTACAGCAGATAGAGGTGGCGTTGATGGCGTGAAACTATTATGAATCATGTCCTCGTTCTTGTTGAGAGTACTGCTATACGAATCATCAGAATCTGAATGATTGTTTGCTCTATCCTTTCTTTTCTTGTCGAAACTCTTGGATATTCCAGAGATCTAGTTGAAAGACGATGAGATAATGATTTGCAATTAATGTATGTATTATGGTTATCTTAGTAATTATCTCCTAAAAGCAACAAAATGAAGATATAAAAAGCCATGAAAATGAAAAAGGCCTTTGAAGTGAGAATCTTAAGGACGAAGGCTTAGATTTGACTTGGATTTTTCTCCTCGTCAACCCAAATGCTAGTAGTATTATTTTTTATTTTCAAACTCCACAATTTCTTGAAGTTGCTATCATTGTCCCCACATTTTCTTGCCCACCCAACAATAGTTTTTCTATAAAGTCCTTTTCTGAATTCCCATCAAACAAGGATTAACGAATAAAATACGAGTTTAAATACAAAATCAATGTTAAATAAAGAAATAACTGAACAGTAGTTACTAATTAGCTTACCTATTCAACCAAGTGTATACTTAGTATAATAACCTCCTACCTAAAATAGCCTTTGCTTCAGTAATTGACCTCCCCAAAAATGGTAAGTTAACTTTTTCTACAAGTAAAAAAATATTTACAGACCCAACCACTAACACCAACTAACCTTTTAAGCGTTTAAGATCAAAGACAAACTCTTTTTGACTGTGTGTGTTTCGCTCTTTTTCACATACCTTTCTGGGAAAAATTCTGGGGAAAATAAACATAAAACGTTTTTTTTTGTTGCTCTGGTTACCTTGCAGCCAAGAGAGCAGAATCTGAAGGAATCGACGAGGCTCCGATAGCAGACTTCGCAGGTGTTGACAACGCCTTTGCCTGGTCGAGGCTGAGGTCTCTCATTCAAGAAGACAACCTTAGCACTGTTAATCACATATGTCTGAACTCCTGTTATGTCCAGAACTTTCTGAATCTCCGATACCCTGATCACATCGTGATACGATGATCTCCTAATCTGCGTAATAAACAGCGTACAAATGTCAGAATCACCAAAAAAATGAATGAAAACAATTTAGTAGATCACCAACCAAACTAACAAAAACCAACAAAAGAATCTAACAAAGAGAGTCAAGAGAATAATTGCGAACCTGAATGGCGTGATGATCCTTGTGAAAAGAGAGGCAGAGAGAACAGAGAGGACCATTGGTACAGTCTAAACAGTACATGTTACACTCACTCTTGTGTGAATCTGCGTGTAATTTGCATTGTACGAAGAACTTCTCTTGAAGCAGAGGTTTAAGCCATGGAGGCCACCTCCTGTTGTTTTCTTCTTCAGCTCTCTGTAATAAAAAAAAGATGCTCCGAATTAAAAACATAACAGAAAATGAAACATACTCGATTGATACATTTTCTTATTGAAAACAGAGTATATAGGTTTTTTTAACAGAAGAATCAATTTGGGTGAAAAAGATTCGACTTTGAAAGAATACATTAGAGGAACAAGGAAAGATTGATGAGCTGATAAAAGGAGATGTTTTTGTAGAATTTGAATTGATCTCCGAAGTATAAAATGGATTATTATTGTTGTAAAAAATGGATTATTATTATTACCATGATGGTTCTTTTGCTCGTGAGTTTGATTTCTCTGACTGTAGTTTGTTGATTCTCTTCGATCGCCAGTTTTTAGAGGAGAGAGAGTGCCAAAAGCAGAACAAGAGCAGAGGAGAGAGACAGAGGTGCGCGTGTAAAAACAAGAACAAAGAGGCGTTCTTATCCGCACAAGTCGACTACTCCCGAACCTAAAACAGCCGAACCTAAAACAGAACCTGAAACCCGAGCTGAGATATTGGTTTTGGTATGGAGGGTTCAATGAACCGAACCCACCTTCCCACTTTCTTTCTTTCTTTCTAACATTTATTATTTATTAAATGCTTCCACAAAAATTATTTCTTTGTTCATAACCTTTTCAGTTTGATGGGAAATCATCCAAATAGATGAACAGTACCGTAACAACTGTTAATCTGATTATTAAGTTGGGAAAATTCCTTCAAATACACTAACTAATTTTTATTTGATATAAAAATATAGGAATTATTTTTGATCGCCGTGTAATACACAAATTAATTTCTATGGCCAATTAAATAAACAATTTTTTTATATTTGTAGATTTTACACATCATTTTCAACTATATCAACTAAGATTAATGGAAATGACGATGATGTTAGTGTTTAAATAAAGACGTGATTCAGTTACGAAAGGATAATGTTGTATCTCGGTTTGTGATATATGAAAGGTTTAAGAGAATTGATTTGGCTAATTATGTCGTCAAAGTATACTTAATTTTTTGGGAAAACATTCAGAGAACTCCAAAATTAAGTAAGTTGAGCTGAAGTAGTCAAAGATTGGATGATCCAGTGGAAAGTGATTTACGATATTGTGCGAATAAGGCCAAAGCACGACAAAACATCATGTGGTGATTGGAGGATTAGTAAACAAGAATTTCGAGCCTATACAAATTTAACGCACCATTGTCAAACGAGATAGATCCCATGGGCCGAGTCAGTGGACGTGGATGGTCCAATATCCATGGACAGTTGTGGCGTTATAATTGGTATCATAGTCAAACCCAAACGAGTGTGGAGTCAGTGAGGGCCACACTAACATGGATAACAACCTTGGAGTGAAACGAAACCATTGCGTTCTTTGAGAGATGGTAAATTGTAACATCTCGGTTTGTGGTATATGAAAAGGTTTTAGAGAATTGGTTTGGCTACCACTGTCACCAAAGTTCACTTATCTTTTCGGGATCACATTCAGAGAAAACTCTACAGTTAAGCGTGTTTGAGCCGGAGTAGTCAAATGATGAGTGACCTAAATCTAAGTGATTTTCAATATCGTGCGATCGAGGCCTAAGCACAGTGAAAGATCATGTAGTAATTGTAGGATCAATAAACAAGGATTTCAAGCCTCTGAAAAATTAATACACCGCTCGTCAAACGGGATGGAGCCCACATACCAAGTGAGTGGACGTGGGTGGCCCATTAGCTGTGGACAGCCGGGATGTTACAGAAAATTCCTTTAAAATACATGAACTAATTTTCATTTGTTAATAAAATACATGAACTATTTTCAATCACTATTTAATACATGAATTAAACTTTTTCTCATTAAATACATAAACTTTTAAAATTTTCAGATTTTATACATCGATTTAGATGGCGTCAACTATGTTTAACAATAGTACAAATGACGTTAGTGATTAATTAAACTTGAAGTTAAACTGTGAAAAATATGCTTACCATCAGCCAAAAACTCTCAAATCAATTGAATCCTAATTTAATAGTTTTTCAATTTATAATTTAAGTTAGTTTCAAATCGAGTTAGGAATTCTAATCGATTTCCATGTCATGAAAAAGACGAAGAAAACGAGGTAGTTTTAATTGAGTTTCTGATTTTGGAATTAGTTTATTATTATGTGTTTCTGATTCTTATTCTTCGCTTTGATTGCAGTGATAATAAGTCAATCAAGGTTAATTTACACTATAGAAGCGTAATGAAGAAAAAAGCTAATAATATAATATATCGGGAAGATTTTAAACCAATATTTAATTAAACACTAACACCGCCTTCACTTCTATTAAACAAAGTTGACGTCTTCTAAAACAATGTGTAAAACTTGAAAATTTTAATATTTTGTGTATTTAATGGGAAACTAAAATCACTTCGTGTATTAAAGGGGAATACAAAATAGTTCGTGTATTTTATTGGCAAATGAAAATTAGTTTGTGTGTTCTTAAGAATTCTTGTTTCACAGTTTAACCACATGCTTAATTATACATTAACATCATCGTTACTTCCGTTAAACATAGTTGACATCGTCTAAAGCGATGTGTAAAATATGCAAATTTTAAAACTTTGTGTATTTAATTGGCAAAAAAAATATTTTGTGTATTAAACAACGATATAAAATAGTCAATGTATTTTTATAGTAAATGACAGTTAGTCCATATATTTTTAAGAATTTTCCCTATTATTTTTACACATTTAACACAACACTTGCAATGTTATCTTTTTCATTTTTGTGACATCAACGACTTTTCAGTCACTCAAAGTAGAGATGGTCTGAAAGTCCTGACCGAGATAGAACAACCAACAAAAACAAGATTCCTGTGAAAGGCTCTGGTGGTATTGGCTAGGGCGTCTATTATCTTGTTGTGATTCCTTGGAATGTGAGTTATCTTAAAATCCTGATATATTAAAACCGTCCTTGAATGGCTGCGAACTCCGCTTGCTCAATGAGTAACTTGGCCACGCTATTGGATCCTTGATCATCGCAATCACATCTTTTTAGTATGGTCGAAGTTCTGGCAGGTAGTATGTTGTGACATATTCTCCATTGCCCAGATGAGGGCCCCAGATAAGAACATAACAGAGACAATTGTCTCACATTGTTCCCAACCCCATGAGTTTTTCCTTTCTTGTTTCTTCAAGATATACTCGCCTACACCCACTACATTGTGACTCTCTTGACCATGATCTACCAACCAAGCAGATACTATGTAAGCTTAAGGCTTGTGTATCCAGGACTGTTGTGGTATTGTATCTGCATATGTGAATTGGCCTCAAACCAAGCATTGCTTTCACATTGGGCATATCTAACTAGTTCAAGCGGATCTCTTGTTATTCCTCTAAATAGATTATCATTTCTAACTTTCCAAAGATACCAGATGATCCAAGGGTATAGATCTCTGTCTAACTCCGGATCCTCTATTGCATTCTTTCGCTAGAATATATAATCCAGATTAGTGTAAACACTTGATATAAGGAAACATCAAGACTTGACGGTGTAGAAGCAAGAACCCAAGTTTGCAGAGTAGGTGGACACTAAAAAATCGCATGGTTTACAGATTCATCCTCCGTTCTACATCATGGACAATAATTATCACATCAAATATGTCGATAAGTAAGGTTTCTTGTTACCGCCAGATAACCCGATACCATTTACCAAATCAAATGTCTCATTTTTTTGTGGAGCTTTAATTTTTCATGCATCGGATTGTGGCTGCATTGGGCTCAGATACCATTACACTAGATTGATATAGTATATTCTTTTCCACCTAGTATCATGATTTTACGGTGTACACACCACTCTTTGTATAGCTCCATCAATAGCATCTCCACATTCCACACTTTTGGCGTGCCATGTATGAAATTAGAAACTGTCATTTTATGGGTGTACCACTAGTGCAACAGGCGTAGCTGGTCTTACAGACATTGTTGGAATCCATGTATCCTCCCAAACATTAATTTGGTATGCAGAATGTACATTATGTATAATCCCAAATGATCGTAAAGGCTTTGTTTTCATAAAGCTATTTCATACATATGAAGGAGATACATGATCCTTTGATTGCAATATCAAACATGTATGATGGTACTGTGAGAATAGACAAATTAGGGTGTGATGATGAAGTAGAGACAAAGTATGGTGGGATCTAACGAGGAGAGACTAAGAAGAGTAAGTGAGAATGAGAGTGAATGCGGCTGGAGAATAGAAAGATTAGAAGAGTTCTTCAGAGTATTTTTTGAGAGATTTAGTAACCAGAGAGATTAGAGACTTAGAGAGTGTTTATGGAACAGAGAATATGAAGAAAGATAACTTCTCTTTGCTTAGATAATTCAGTTAGAAGAACTGTCATTAAATAGACAAGCAATAACAATAAAATACCAATAAACAAGCGAAATTAAACAAATAATAAAAAAAGGAAAGGGGAGCAAGCTTTAGGGACACAAGTGACATCTAAATAATAAATGTGGATAATAGAGTATTCCTTCTCTCGAACAACTCTATTTTGAATCTGTGTTTACACCTTCTTCCCATTTGAATTCAAACTTGCCCAATTTCTTTCTCTCTTGGTTCCACTTGCTACCAACAACCATATTGACTTTTGATCACCAAGATATAGGTGCTCCCTCTTGCCTTGCCTTCCGAGACACTTTAGGTAATTTCAGAATGCTTGTGGAGCAAGGCTGTACAGACATCACCATACTGGGTTCATCATTGGCCAGCTTCTTCTTCTAGTCATTTCCTTCTTTATTCCACACTTTCCCTCACGCTTGATCATATGAGATCTTTGGAAAAGATTGGAACTTTTAAGAAGCTCGCTCATTAAAAACCTTAGCAAGAAAATCCATTTGGGAAAAAACCAAATAAGGAAAAGAGTAGAGATCAATAAGGCCTAGGGATTGGCCAGTGAATCTAAGGAGCTTCAAATAACTCATAGTGGAGTCCTTAGACTCTGGATCATGGCCTAACTTGTGCTGCAAAAGTGAACTCCACAACTTGCAAACACAACCATCTCAGATCTCTTCATTAGGCCGGTTTGATGTCTCCCCCTTGATTTGGGATCGACCACGACGATCGAGGTCGACATGGAGTGACTCACGTCAATAGATATGCACCTTGCATGATTGATCGATGCCGAAGGCGCATAGACCAACTCGCGAGAAAGCCGACTTGAAGTCCAAACATCATTAAATGACGATTTTACCCCTGACGAGTTTTAACCTAAGTTTATATACTCTGCCAAAGTGTTAGAGGCAGAGAGAGCTTTTTTGTATTCTTTTCACAGCAAAAGGATTTAGGATTTATAGTTTGGGAGAGAAGATCATCAGAGAGATTTGTGATTGGAACTCCATTGTTCTATCTATCTATCTATCTATCTATCTATCTAT